TGTCTGCCCCCCCCTATCCCATTGTCTGTCTGCCCCCCCCCCCCATCCCATTGTCTGGCCCCCATCCCATAGTCTTATGGTCCTCTATCCCAGTGTCTGGCTCCCTTTCATTTAAAGGACTAATTGATGTCTGAAACAGAAACGTGTTTAGTCACGTGCAGTTCCCGTTAGACTTAAATACTTTAATCTATATTTTCGATACACACGTTTTTCAAAAACCCCCACCGCCCCTCGCCATCTCCTCAACGTCGCACTGACAATGAGGTCCATGATGGGCCCGTCTCGTGACTGCTGTCGTGTTTCAATCACCATCCTGCCAACGCTATTATCATTTAAATATATAATTTTATCGCAGCCATCTTTGTTGATAAAAAAAGTTGGGCTCTTTGTCAGACATGTGTGACGAAGGTCAGCCCATGCTAGTTTAATGATGAACGTAGTGTAAGATTAACAACATTGTAATAATCTTGGCCGAATGTAATGTAATCGCCGCATTTGCCCGAATTGTTTTTTTTTTAATTTACGTTTGAATGATTTTTTTCAAAAATGTCCTTGAACTTGGAAAATACGTGATTTGGTGTAGAGAAATCCCCCCCCCCCCCCCCCCCCCCCTCGCCACGCTTCCGTTTTACTCTTGGGCTAAAGTTACATCAACCGAATGAACATGACTTGGCAGAAATTGTTTAATTAAAAAAAAATTATATTATATTATGACCAATGGCAGAAAATATTTCAGATTTTTGTGGGTAAATTTAAATAAGGACACGTGTATCTAACCTGTCTGTAAGCGATGTGTGTCGATATTGTTGGGTCCCACCCCGGGGTCCTTCTGCTTCCCACCTGCACGGGATACATATCTAATTAGCGGCAATGTGACGGCGTGGTTTGGTAGTAGAGCGCACGACTGCAGACCCGTAAGTCCGGAGTACATCCCTACTTACACTGATCACACTATCCCTTCGAATGCCGAGGTCACAGAATCAGCGGAAATATATTTCGACTGCCCTGTGGATCGCCAAGTTCAAAACGGTAACTAGTTAGCTTCATTAACAACTAATTAAAACTTCACAGCTTTAAATATAAAAATAAGTATACCGAAATTTTAATTTTCAATTTTTCACAAGTCTATGACGTTATCAAGAGCCTTGTGAGTTCAGTTTTTCAGGGAATTGACTTTTCCGGATTTTAGCGGATATCCTATTTTTCTGTTTCAGCCGCAATTTTTCTCCGCAGATTTCATTTTCGCCGAATTTTTCCGCCGATTTTCAATTTTTGTCGATTTTTTACGAAATTTTAAAAATTAGGGAGAAAAAAACGGAAATGACCTCTACGGAAACGGCCCACATACGCATCCCACATATTCGTAATTTAATCGAGAATTACAATACTTAGGTCAAGATTCAGAATTTCGGCGTATTTACGAATTTTTCAGAACGCATTTTTTTTTAGTCCAGATTTTCCGCAATTTTCAGATCGTATACCGAATATGAAGGATGCATTGTAATCGTGCAAAAAATCATAAGTCGATATTTTTTACAAACTTTGACATTTTATAACCTTTGGTGCCGGAAAAAAAACGTTCTTCTTTAATCCTGTCCGTTTGTGTGCGTGTGTTTGTCAACACTATAACTTGAGTACCGTTTGGTTGACGAAATGTCATACATATGTATAAGATAATATTCTCTTGATTCTCTAAAATGTTAGGTGAATTCCGGTTAACGGAAGTAGTACTTTACGCTATTTCCGCTTTCTCAAAAAAGCGTTTAAATTTAAATGTGATAATTTTACATCACATTTAGTGCGCAATTCTTTTTTCTACGCGATTCTATTCTATTTAAACTGTATAATTGAGCGGAAGATTAGTGTTTTGTAATATGATATTTAGTCGCTTTTCCGATTTCCCAAAGTAAATTCTCAAGGCTAATCTTGTTTAAGACAACATTAAGACTAATCTCTCAGCATTTTTTTCCATGGAACCTTGAATCCAACCTTCAAGACAACCCTAATGCCAACCTCTTAGCATCTACCACAACAAACCTTAATCATTCCCGTACTTAGCTTATTCCAAAACCAGCTTTCAATTTCAACCTAACATCTTCTAGCAAACCCCATTAACAACCCTACAATCAAAGTATTGCCGATCACAAAGACTACCCGCTAGTTAATCATTTAGCCAAACCCTTATCCAACCCCTAATCCAACCCACTAACCAACCCTTAATTCAACCCGCATAACCAACCCATAGTCCAACTCCTAATACAAACCTTAAAAACCCCTAATCCAACCCCTAAACCAACCCCCTAACCCACCCCCCCTAAACAATCCCAAATCCAACCCCTTAATAAATCCCTAATCCAACCCATAACAACCCCTAATCCGACCCCCTAACCAACCCCTAATCCAACCCCTAATCCAGCCCCTAAACCAACCCCCTAATCAATAAATCCTTAATTTAAACTCCTAATTAATCCCTAATCCAACCCCCTAACCAAGCCTCTAAACCAACCCCTAATCAACACCTAAACCAACCCCTAATCAATCCCTAATCCAACCCCCTTAACAACCCCTAATCAGATCCCCTAATCCAACCCCCTAAACAATCCCTAATCCAGCCTCCTAAACAACACCTAACCAAACCCCTAAACAACTCCCTAACCAACCCCCTAACCAACCCCTAATCCAACCCCTAATCCAACCCCTAATCCAACCCCTAATCCAACCCCCTAACCAACCCCTAAACCAACCGTCTAATCAATAAATCCTTAATTTAAACTCCTAATCAATCCCTAATCCAACCCCCTAAACAACCCCTAATCAAATCCCCTAATCCAACCCTAAACAATCCCTAATCCAGTCTCCTAAACAACACCTAATCCAACCCCAAACCAACCCCTAATCCAACCCCCTAAACCAACCCCCTAACCAACCCCCTAACCAACCCCCTAACCAACCCCCTAACCAACCCCCTAACCAACCCCTAAACCAACCGTCTAATCAATAAATCCTTAATTTAACCTCCTAATTAATCCCTAATCCAACCCCCTAACCAAGCCTCTAAACCAACCCCTAATCAACCCCTAAACAACCCCTATTCAAATCCCCTAATTCAACCCCCTAAACAATCCCTAATCCAACCTCCTAAACAACTCCTAATCCAACCCCAAACCAACCCCTACTCCAACCCCCTAACAGCTGGAGCATGTTGTAAAAACGAGCCATAACAGCATGTCTATCGGAATATTTTGTCTCCCCTACAAGTTCCCTGCATGTACAACAAAAGGGGACATCACCAGGTTGCATTGCCCGAGCCCAACATGACTTGACAGAAAAAAAAATAAGAATGACTTCTGACGTAATATATTCACCCCCACCCCACCCCTATACACACTCGAAAGCTCAGTGAACAAACGACGTCATTGTTAACGTTGAGAAACTCGTGGGTGTCTGAATATATTATCACGTATTTTAACACCCGCCGTGTTAGCTGTTATATCTGCAAGATTTTAATATTATATGTAACAGCAAGCAGTGGCGGATCTAAGGAGCTTGCACCCCTTGCACCTACAGTACCCCCAGAATATTTTTTAAAAAGAATAAATATATATATATATATATATATATATATATATATATATATATATATATATATATATATATATATATATATATAAAATATGTGTATATAATATGTGTATATGTATATATTGGCTGGTAACTACCCGCTTGAAATGAAAAGGCTTACGCTGACAATGACTTTCAATAAAGGCGTCCTGTGTTTTGTATTTACAGTGCTACTTTTCTGCAATCTTTTTACTTTCTCGTAGTTACGAAGTAGACTATAGAGAAAGTATAGTAATAGTGCAAAAAAAAGAATCGAGATTTTTGCAAATCTCGACGGTTTACACGTCCCTGAGTCGGAAAAACATAGTTTTGCAATCTTGTCCATTATGTTTGTGTGTATGTGTCTGTGTGTCTATTAACACGATAACTTGAGTACCGTTATAGCTAGGTTGATGAAATTTCATTTATAAGTATTATATTAAATTTGTAGATCCGTATCAGCTTTTGAGCGTTTTCCGATAACCAGAAGTGAAACTTTTTCTACTTTGAATTTTTCAAAAGCCTATAACTATTTCAGATAGATAAATAAAATTTCACATGTAAGTAAAAGATCTAATTCTCTGCCTTTTGTCAAATTTTTAAGTAACTTCCTTTGACCGGAAGTAGTAATTTAGGCTATTTCCGATTTCTCAAAAAAAAAACGCATGTGAATTTATAAAGTACTAATGATATTCTGCACTATTTTACACATTATATTTGGCGTTCACTTGGTGTGCAATTCTTTTTTCTACGAGATTCTATTCTATTTTTAAAAGGTTAAGTAATTAAAAATGGATTTAAAATATTGTCTATATTCCGAACTGGCATCCCCCGTAGTGTTATATAAGAATATTCAAGAAAGTTTAGGGGAGGTCACTCCCGGTTTATTTGTTTTTAATAGTCTTTCAATCGATGTTTCGAGTAATGCTCTCTTGCTTTCTAGTTTAAGAAGTCTTAATTTGACAACTGTTTCAATGGTTGAGTTTAGTTAAATATAGGAATGGTGTATTATTGTCGAAGTTTGTGTGCGCGTGACTTACGGCTAAAATCTTTGGCATATAGCATTAGGCTTGGTAGACAAAGACATTTGAATAGCTTTTAGCTGTATGCATATTGAATATAAATAGCTTAAAGCCTTAAGACTCTAAGCATAGTGGACATTTCTATGGCCTGTCTGGCTTTATGCCGTAGGAATATTTATACTGCAAATTTTCCGTGTTTTTCCGAAGACTTCAGCGTTTTATACTCCATTACCCTTGTGTATTTTACACCCCCCATACCTTTGTGTATATTCTACACCCCCATAGCCTTGTGTATCCTACACCCCCATACCTGTATATTCTACACCCCCGCACACCTGTTGTTTCACTCACCCTGTAATATTTTCTTGCTCTCTACAGAACCATGTCACCGGCACCACCGTACCCGCCCCCACCATACCAGCCCCCACCCCCTCCCCCTCCAGCCAAGCCATGTACCTGCAGAAATTGCTGGAGAGCAGTGAGGCGGTCAAGGCCGGCAACTTCAGGTAAGTTTTTATTTTAATCATTTTTTTTTAAATACAACACATTGACCAAATGAGTGTCTATGTGTTGAAGGGGGGGGGGGGGGGCTCAATTTTGACACATTTATAATATTAAAAAAAATAATTTCAGAATAATTTCCAAAATTAATGTACAAATACCTAGTTTTCACCTTAATTTTCATAAAATGTGTTATAAAAACTATGACAAGAGGGAGATATAGAATAAGATAGAGCGATCATTGTATCGGGGGACGGCGTGGTTTAGAAGTAGAGCGCTAGACTGCTAACCCGAAAGTCTCGGGTTCGAATCTGTAGAGCTTTCGTGAGTCAATCCAGCTGTGATGGGTAACTGACTCCGTTAGGGAAACAAAGACGGCTGGGCATAGTGCTGACCAAAAGTATCCCCTCGTATTCCGTGGTCACTGAAAACAGATGAACTCTACTTCATCTGTCCCACGTGTCTAGGGCACAAACGGGAAAAGATGATGACTCGGTTAGCTGGTATGCGACAACTGTTTACAAATCTTGCTAAACAAGACAAGTTACTCACGGGCAGATTAAAAAACCGGATCGTGTAGATTTTAATATGCAGTAATTTTAGCGCCATTGCAAACGTTGGGGCAGAAAACAGAGCGTAGTTGAGCATTGAACGTCCAATGGACTCGAACCCAAACTAAACCGGTCCCCGTGTTTCCACCATCCCAGACGAGCCATCCAGCTGTACACCGACGCCATCGAGCTGGACCCCGAGAACCACATCCTCTACACCAACAGGTCGGCCGCACACCTGAAGAACGGCCAGGTGGATAAGTCTTTGGAGGACGCCATCAAGGCCAGGACCATCTGTCCGAAGTGGGGCAAGGTAGGTCATACCTGTTACTTGTTTCATCGTTAGGTTGTACCTGTTACCTGTTTCATTGTTAGGTTGTACCTGTTACCTATTTCATCGTTAAGTTGTAAGTGTTACCTCTACTACACCAAGAAAATCTCACATATTACCAATTACAATTTGCCTGTATCTATTGCATGTTGCGTTTTACCTATTACATTGTTAAGTTGTACCTGTTACATATATTACACCAGATGTGTTACCTAGTACATCGCTTAGTTGAATGTATTGGTTACAGCATATCTCTTTAATTTCCTATCTTACGCCTAAACATAAATCCTAAGACCTTAGCTTCTAATCCCAAATCCCCACTTTAACCTAAGGCAATTGAGCTCTACGTATGGTGTGTGGATATCAAGCAATATATCTGTTATTGTGATAGATGGCAGCAATATATATGGTATTGTGATATATATCAAATAATATATCTGGTATTGTGATAGATAGCAGCAATATATCTGGCATTGTGATAGATAGCAGCAATATATCTGGTATCGCGATAGATATATACCGGCAATACGTCTTGTTTTGTTATTGATAGCAGCAATATATCAGGTATCGGTAAACTTATCATCGGTACCCTTCTCTGGTATTGTGATAGTATTGTGATAGATTTTTATGTAACAAAAAAAAATGCACCAGTGTTTTTATTTTCATCTATATCAGGGGTCTCCAAACTTTTCAGTCCGAGGGCCGCATTAACTATCAAATTTCAGTTCAGTGGCCAGTTTCTTGCAGACATGTCTTTGATTTTTCTGAGCAAAGTTCCTCATCATCACCAACAAACGATTTTTCCTTGGACAAAACATTTCCGCGGGCCGGATGAGAGGACTTTGCGGGCCGCATTCGGCCCGCGGGTCGTAGTTTGGAGATCCCCTGATCTATATCAAAGCCCCTTTTTTCTGAAGATGTTACTTTTTTTGCTCATACCACCTCCCATTCCGGTTTGCATCAATATCCAAAAATAATTCTTCCTCTTGTTTGTCCAATGATTAAAATACGTCCTGAGTTTACTCGATAATCATCACAACATCATAGCGATACAGTTTTCTCTAATCTTTTTTAACGTACCCTCCGACCTTGACATTGACTGATCTCGCTCGTTACTTTCCCTCCTCCTCTGCACAACACAGGGGCGCTTAACTCTCGTCCACACCCGCCCTTTATTTATCCTTACCTCCCCTGCTGTTTATCCATCGCCGATAACCGATCGAATGCAGCCCGAAATCCCGTTCAATGTCTGTCACAATCGCCGGAGTGGCGCTGTCAAAACTCGGGCCGTAACTCTGTGATCTCCGCAACACTGACACCATACGGCCGATAGATTAATCATCGTTGGTAAACACGGGAGGGACCTCCGCCATATCCGGTGAAGGGTGGACTGGTGTATCCAAGTTAACACGCCCCCCCCCCCCTTTACACTAAACCGGTGAGGACCCTGTTCTTATCGCTGAGACAATGCGAGATACGGTGTTTGTTACATTAGTTGCCGAAATATTTAGACAGGCCTAGAGGTTGTTGTACTTTCTGCGCTTGAATCGTTGCTGTCATATATGTAAATATGAACAGAATAACTTTAAAACATTGTTCACATAGTATCGGGTATACGGGTGGTCGGGCGGTAGGTAGCTCGACCCGAAAGTCTCGAGTTCGAATCTGGAACTGGAGTCTGCAGCTCGTCCCTGAGTTCACCCAGCTCTGTTGGGTACCTGTATTATGTTAGGGAAAGTAAAAGCGAATGGGCATAATGCTGACTATACTTTCCCCTCATAAGTCGTGGTCAAGAAACAGATGGACTCTACTTCATCTGTCCGATGGATTTCCGGGTCCGAACGAACTTTGTAGAGCTTAGTCGTATAACATGCAATAGGGCTGGTAAGTAGGTCACCAACCAGTTATATGGCTCAGGCAGGTTTTAATATTGAGCCGTTGAACTGGTTAATGACCTACTTACCAGCCCTATTGCTAATCACGTCTTCATTATCGTATGCGTGGTCAAGAAACATATGAACTTCTACATCATCTGCTCAACGGATATCTGAAAAGGGAACTTCGTAGAGCTTAGTCGTAGAACATTCGATCGCTAACCCTGAGACAAGACTCGATATCTGTTCTCGATCTCCGTATAACGCCGCTGAGTCAACTCAGCTCTAATTATAGCCGGGCAGAAAACAAAAACAGCAGATTAGACACAAACCCTTTAAATGTCGAGATGAACTCTACTTCATCTGCTATTTGCACATACAATAACCTCATACAGAACATTTATTAAATATATCTCGGGGTTAGGCAAACGTAGGCTATTATTCCTGACCATCGCTAGTTAGAACTGCACGCTAAAGCTAAAGGACTTGTTGAATCTAAAAAAATTCCTGTGCATCATGTACGAAAGAACTCTTCCAATTAATCGGGTAGCTTCGTTGACAGTGGTAAAATTGACATGGTTAGAGTTTGGAAATTAGCTAGTAGACTCTATATTTGAGTTAGGGGCCGTCCGTAAATTAAATCTCGCACATTTTCTTTTTTTTTTCGTCTTTTCTAAATCCCTTCTTAAATTCACGCTTCGTCACAAAATGTCACACCTCCTACATGACGTCACAAAGACCCACCAACACCCCTTCTCCACTACACGATCTCTTCATAACTTTTTTTTCCGCCTCTTTTAAACAAAGAGTTACAAAACATGTTACGGAATCTATCTAATCCCTCTTCCATCTACTACGCGTAGTAGATCATAACTAAAGCCCGAAGCCCACTCCCTTTGAGGTTTACGTATACCGACACCCCTTACTAATTTATCATAATCCCCATTTATATAAAAAAGCCCATTTCAGTAGCTTTATTAAAAAGAAATACCACAACGACTCTACGCCCCTTATTTAAAAAACGAAAATCTAACTTTCGAAAAATTACAATTAACCCTCCTGCAACGGAACACGCACGATGCGAGTAATTTCGTTTAACCCTTCTGTCACCGGTGTGTCACCCGTGTGCACAATTTAACTGCCCCGTTTTAACCCCTCCCGAAATCGCAACGTGGAAGGGATTGCATGCCTCACTCTACAAAGCTCGGTCATTGGTTGAACACAACAAAAATTTTTTTTTAAACCCAGGCGACTCGGAGAACGTCGAACACAACTTCTCGCCTCGTCCTGTTTGTTTTCACGAGGGAAGCCAAAGCCTGGACTGGCCGTGGTCAAACAAAGGTTCCTGCTCTCGCGTTGACTTAGTTTCATCTTCTTTCTGATGCGTAATTACCTGAGATTTTGGTTCGTGTAGATAAAATTTACAGACTCAAATGAAAATGTTTTGCGTAACTCGATGTTTGGATCTATTGACTTCGTTGATGTAAATTGTCATAAGCGCTTGACACAATGTCAGCTGTTTAAATTTATTTTTATTGTATGTGATCTTCTTTGTGATTGTTGTTAATGTTGGACGGGATTTCCCCCAAAACAATTAAACATTACTTGTCACCGTGTTATACGCCATATAACTCGTTGAATCCTATTTCCGCCTGCTTTTCTGTTTGGATTTGTTTGTCCAAGAATAAACTACAAGGCAGCAGTTGTTTGATTTTGGAGTTGTCTCTCCTAGATGGGTTGCTGTCGCCAGTTATCGGTCTTTATCTGCTCCGGGGTTCGAACTCGGGACTTTTCGGTTTAGCAGCCATGAGCTTACCGGCCCGACCCCTACGACCTTGTGACCTTGTTAACTATTTTTTAAATATTAAGAATGATAGAAAAAACATTAAACATTAAGAATGATAGAAGCATTAAATATAATGAATGATAGAAACATTAAATATAAAGAGTGATAGAAACAGAGGCAGATACACACATATACACACACACATATATGCATATGTATGTGTACACATAGGTGAGGCAGAATCGAATATCCGCAAAGAAACTCTAAAGCTACACTGCTGTCCTTGTGTTTATAAATTCACTTTCCTCACCAATATAAGCCACGATCTCCTAAAATAGATTTTTTTTTAAATATCGGTTTCATAATATTGTCTTCTTGCTTCTATGCCACCCTGTTTATTCGGACGAATGGGAGTCGGCATTATGCGACTGTTTATACCAAACAGGATTTAACTTTTAAACTTTCATAATTTATCAAACACGCGAAATATGGGACCCAGGGAAAACCCTGAAACCCGACGGCGGAAAAAAAATTGTCGTTCTTGTTGAGCTATTGGAATGTTTACGTGTGACCCTTAACCCCAGCCGTCAAAATATTGAATCGGAAGTAGCCGGCCTTTCGGGATAGGGGCCCTAACTCTGCATTGCCATTATGGTGTCTGGTGTGTTTGTAGTGGGAAAATAAATTTAACGCGTTTGGTTCAGCCTATGCACTGTTTATAAAGCTTGCATTTAAATAAAATTAATTACAACCGTGTAGTAATATATTTTCTTCAGGTGGAAGTTTTATTTTTTTTGATGTACATCATTGAAAATGTGTAGTCTTGGGAAATACAAATTATATACACCTTGCTTTAGGGATACTCTAAGCTTTTCAAAATAATTGAACCTTTCTCTTTAAACTAATTTTTTTTAAAAACTACGCAATAAAACAACGGATAGACTTGATATTAGCTCACAGTACACAATAAGTAATCCTTTTCCGCTTGCAGTGCCCATTTTTTGTGTCTTAAGATATTAACCCTAACGCTATTAAAATCAAATAACAAACCCTTTGGAAAAATGGCTCTCCTAATTTTTATTTCTCTCGAATCTCGTTGTCCAATCGTTACAACTAAACCTTTACACCCTACTTAAAACCTCCTATGAAATTAAGGTGAAGAAGTTGATTTCGACAAGGTACGATAACTCACTTTATTTATCTGTTTCCATGACAACGTAGTCGTACTACGCCCCGTGTCCCTATATTTATGTGAAGACCTACGGCGCTTGTGGTGACGACGACGTCACAGATTTTAGCCGTCTGTGTTCATGTTAATATGG